TGATATGTTTGCAACAGCTGTGAAGAGTCATTGGGTATAAAGGGACCAAGGGTGACAATCCATCACAGAAAGGAAAGGATGGAGGCAGCCAATACACTATTTATCAGCTATTTAGCTCTTATAATAATTAATAATGTCATAGTTTGAATGCTGAGAGAGTTTGAGAGAATACATCTTCACAACTGTTACAATATACCTGACTATACTTTAATGAATTATAATATTTCAGACATTACTAGCAAACATGCCGAGGAAATCCATTGACATTCCAGTCTCCAATCCATATGTACACTGTAGTTGAAAAACTTTGCCAAAGTAGCCAGGCACAACATCCTTGGACAACCCAGATAATAAAGCAAATAACTCCTTGACAAAGCGCATTAAAGTAAAATAAATAACAATAGCCTTCTTGACATCACAGTGAAAACAAAATGGTTCAACAAATCCGTACAAACCCCGAACATTTCCCACGATTATTGAAAACATGATAAACTGAGTAAATAAATATGGGTTTCTCATACTAGTTTTGCTCCCTATCCGCCGTCGAACTCCTGCCAGCCACAGCCGAGCTTCCCTTTGCAGTATTGGCGCTGGATTTATGGAATTAGTCATCTTCCGTGGCACATTTAATCCAGAGAATCATGAGCTTCCAGTAAAGTTTCAACTTGCTCGGCACATTTATCCACGAAAACGCGTCGTTTTGGCAGCTTTTCTCCCGAATGCAGCTACCAAGGGCCTCCATTACTTTCTGAAAATAATCTACCGGCCGGTCGACACAGTTGTCGTTTCAAAATATCTTGATTTAAGACCTCGTCAAGACTAAAATCATAGATATAGGAGACCTAGATCGCTGACTCTAATGTTTTCTATAACGCACGAGCGTGGCACTCATGAGCATTCAAAACGGCGGCTCAACCGGGCAAAAATCATAGAGCGAGATAGGGAAAAAAGATGTTTTCGCAGTTTGCTTCGTCCTACAGCTTTCGAGCCCGTTCTATCACTTTATTTTGGCAAGAACTAACTGGTGTGAAGGTTTTGGATGAATATTTGTACAATTTATGTTTAATAAAGACGAAATAATCGATCGCTAAATGTTATCTGAAAATCATCACATAGTCGGTTGAGCAGTTCGAGACATTTTGTTGCAGAAAATAAAGGTTTTGGTTCTTTGGGTGCTTTTTTTCTCGAGGATCTCGGTTGGGATATATAACAGGGAATAATATTGTGAAGTATTTTGAAGTTAAAATCTATTTTAC